GGGGTGTGTCTCCTGTCCTCCCTACTGTCTCTCCTGAGCAGTCTAGGTAAGGCCTGTTGTCCTGATTAATTGATAGATGTAGCCCACCATGCCTTAAAAAACAAAAAATCCTTAAGTTTTTTAAGTTCAAAGTTCCAGGTGCCTAGGCATTCCAGGTGGCATTGGCAGTTCATGCAGGCTGAGTTGTCTCTGGCTGCGTGTAACCACATGTTACAGTGTCTGCTTTCTTCATATCCTCAGTACAAATGCTCCAGAGGTTAAAAAAAAAAAAATGAATCTATATTGTTTCCCTTTTGTCCTACTTCAGTCCCTATTACACCTTAGCCTTTCAACCTGCTCTGCTGTTTGCACTTCCTTACAACTTCCCTTGCTGCTTATATTTCTTTTTTCCCCTCAGGTGTCTCTCCTTCCCTTCTCACTGGCAGCAGCCCCCTTCACCTCAGGAGCGGACTTTAGATCCGCTCTGCCAGGCAGCTTGCTAACTTCTGTGTAGCTCTCTGAAGCAGGTAGAGAACCATTTTGCTAAATGCATGCCACTTCCTCTGCCTTTCTAGTCCTAACCCTTCAGTGTTCCCTAGCTGCTTGCTTTGTTTCCTATGATTTCAGCTAAAAATATTGCTCAATATGTAGTATTATGCTATAGTACAGTGTGTTTTACAAATACTTTGTACAGTTATGCAATGATTTTGAGGTGTAATTAAATGTCCCTGCATTGTTTTAAGTTAAACTGGAAGGCTAAAGCCATTATATGCTCATAAGACACATCTTGATAAATGCTGGGATAATGGCATTTTTGTGCACTAGAGACTTAAGAGTCAAGACATATAAAACTAAAATACTGATACCTTTTCCACAGCATTCATGTTTTGACCTATGACTAGGTGTCCAGAGTTTGCCTTATCTTTCTCAGAGACCCTTGTTCATTTGGTGTTATTTGTTACAGTAGCAGTTTTTTGCACCAAATGAAAATAGGTTTAACTTAAGCATAGATGGATGTGTTTTTGTTGTGAACTTCATCAAGTATGACTTTTGAATGGGCTAACTCGAGTACAGAGTTTGTTTCCCATTTTTTTTTTCTCATTTAACATTAGCTATATCCTTCAGTGCCCAGGATTTTTTTTTTATTGAACTTCCCAGATGTGAGAAGGGAAAACTTTTCCATGTTTCCTCACCAGTGTTACTGTCTAGCATAAATTTTGAAATGATTTTTAACTTTGTCATACAGTAACGGCAAACCATGAAAATGGTGTTGCGGGTGTTTGTTAAGATTTTGTTGTATGCTTAGATAATCCTAATAGATTGCATCAGGTCCTTGTGATGGAATGCTTGACCTGGTTCTCACATTTTCACAAAGGTCCGTGTTCTCACATGACTGCTCTTTAGAAGGTTTCCATTTTTTCTCTTGCAGGACCTGGAGTTGCTGGCTACCTTACTGCAGGGACATCCTCATCAGTCATGTCCAACTTGCCACCTCCTGTAGACCATGAGGCAGGTGATCTTGGCTATCAGACGTGAGACTTTCATGAGAGACAATAAACGCTGAAAGGCCAGTGCCCTGTCCACATTCCTCCAGCTGATCCATTGAAGAAAACTCTTAACTGCCTTTCTCCTGGTTTCATGACAGTGTTATTCCTTTTTCTATAAATATATTTTTATTTAGGAAAAAAGTCAGTGATTCTAATTGTATCACGTTATAAGAAAGCACTCTGTGGATCAACCTAAGTGGGTACACAAGAATTTTTTTTCTTGATGTATGTAAGCACATTTTGTTCCTTTATATCTGTTTACAAGACTGTGAATCAAAAAGACAAAGCTTTCTTCCTAGTTTTTATAATGTTTTTTCGAATTAGTGTGACTGTGGGGTTGAACTACAGTCTACAGAGATTGGGAAATCAAAGTCACTCAGTCCCCAGAAGGGCATTCCCTCTCCTGCCTCAAGTCTGCCTGGCTGTTCTCCCATTGTTGAACACTTTTGGGTTTTGTCCTTGCACCTGTTCACTGGTATCCTCTCCTCAATCATTTAACCTCCTGAGAGCTTACAGTACATGTTGATATATATAACTGGCTTTACCAAATTGAATGAAAAAGGAGCTTGTGCAAAAAAATTTAAAAACAGACGTCAAGATGTTATGTAAGAGATTAGTGTAATTGTGAAATGTTCTATACATTATCAGATATATAAAGCTTTCTATATTGAATGTACATTATACAGATCATTCATATGTGTACATAAAATTTTAAAAATAAAGGGAATTGACTGCTTTGTTAATGATATCCATTCTAGTTTAATTTTTCGCTTTAAAGACCTTATATTTTTATTTCTAAGATAGATTTACTAGTGGTAGTAAACACAGAATTTGCCTCACATTTCCAGTATCTCATACAGACAGCTCCATTGACATACCTGATCATTCCTAAATCCCTTCATTAATATTTCAGCACATCTATATTTCCAGACACAGCATCTCATTTATTTTTCATACAGTATTCAATGAGGAGTCACGCTGTTAATAAATAGTTTAATGTGTGTTACACATTAATTAAGCCTTTGACTGTGTGGATCACAATAAACTGTGGAGAATTCTGAAAGCTGGGAATACCAGACCACCTGACCTGACTCTTGAGAAACCTATATGCAGATCAGGAAGCAACAGTTAGAACTGGACATGGCACAACAGACTGGTTCCAAATAGGAAAAGGAGTTCATCAAGGCTGTATATTGTCACCCTACTTATTTAACTTACATGCAGAGTACATCATGAGAAACACTAGGCTGGAAGAAGCACAAGCTGGAATCAGGATTGCCAGGAGAAATATCAATAACCTCAGATGTGCAGATGACACCACCCTTATGGCAGAAAGTGAAGAAGAACTAAAGGGCCTCTTGATGAACGTGAAAGAGGAGAGTGAAAAAGTTGGCTTAAAGCTCAACATTCAGAAAACTAAGATCATGGCATCTGGTCCCATCACCTCATGGGAAATAGATGGGGAAACAGTGGAAACAGTGACTGACTTTTTTGGGGGGGCCTCCAAAATCTCTGCAGATGGTGACTGCAGCCATGAAATTAAATGACGCTTACTCCTTGGAAGGAAAGTTATGATCAACCTAGATTGCATGTTATAAAGCAGAGACATTACTTTGCCAACAAAGGTCCATCTAGTTAAAGGTATGGTTTTTCCAGTGATCATGTATGGATGTGAGAGTTGGACTGTGAAGAAAGCTGAGCGCCGAAGAATTGATGCTTTTGAACTGGGGTGTTGGGAGAAGACTCTTGAGAGTCCCTTGGACTACAAGGAGATCCAACCAGTCCATCCTAAAGGATATCAGTCCTGGGTATTCATTGGAAGGACTGATGCTGAAGCTGAAACTCCAATACTTTGGCCACCTCATGGGAAGAGTTGACTCATTGGAAAAGACCCTGATGCTGGGAGGGATTGGGGGCAGGAGGAGAAGGGGACGACAGAGGATGAGATGGCTGGATGGCATCACCGACATGATGGTCATGAGTTCCAGTAAACTCCAGGAGTTGGTGATGGACAGGGAGGCCTGGTGTGCTGCGATTCATGGGGCCACAAAGAGTTGGACACACTGAGCGACTGAACTGAACTACACATTAATTACAATATTTTTAAGAGGAGATGTAAAGAGGGAGAGGAGGTTTCAAATAACAAAGATTTCAGCATTAAAGTCATCTTATGTGATCACAAATACAAAGAAATATAAGCATGTAAAATACATATAAGAGCCAAGTTTATTACCGAGTTGATGTGTAAGAAGAGCTGGACTAGATGCTTAATTCCTATCATAACTTGCTGATTGAAAATTTTACATCAGATTTATTATTAATTTAACGGAGTAATGCACCCATGTGAATATTCTAACATATAATTAGGATTTGTTTCTAAAAGGCAATAGTTTGTCCTAAAAATATGTTCACTGAGAGAGATTCTAACAGCTGGTTTATGAGTAGGTGTTTTAGGAGAGCATAACTCAACACAGCAATATATTTCCTTTAAATACTAAAGGAACATTGATATTGTGGATAATTATAATATTTAAAGGTCAGTTTAAATATGTAGTTGTTGATGTTTGAATATCAATAATAGCTCATCTTTATTAAACATTATGCCAAACATTTTAAATGTTGTACATGGATAACTTCATTTAATCCTCAGAGCAAATCTCATTTGACATCAGCTGTATTGCTGATATAATTCCCATCTTCCAGGTGAAGAACAAGAAGCTCAGAGAGGCGACACTGCTCAGAGGCAAACTTCTGAAAGTCACATTATTAGTAAGTAACAGAGTAGGAAGTCAAAGCTTACTTTTACTTCACACTATTCTGAGCCACTATCTGGAGGTAACCATAATATCAAATAGGTATATGTGACTAGGAAGAGTAAGTTGCTTGTTTTTCATTTTTAAACTGGTTTTTTTTTTTGGCCATACTGTGAGGTATGTGGGATCTTAGTTCCCCATCCAGGGATCAAACCCAGGCGCCTTATATTGGGAGTGTGAAAACCACCAGGGAAGTCCCCGTTTTTAAACATTTTTATTGTAAACTTAAGTAGGTACAGACAATCTTACTGAACAAATTAGTTTAATGAATTATTATAAGGCAAATCACCTTTGACCTCCCAGCCAGGTGAAGAACTTTGCCAGCCTTTCCAGTAGCCCCATCATGTTCCCCCATCAGAATCATCTCCCCTCCCTCCAAAAGTGACCACTTGGCTGACACTTCCTTGTGTTTATTAGTTCATCACCTGATGTGTACATCCCTGGACACCAGAGTGGTCTTGCTATTTTTCTTTTTAAAATTTCTTTGAGTCTGTTAATCTGGCTACCCTTCCATCCCTTTTCCCCATCGCTTGTCTGTTGAAGTCCCCAGGACAATCTAGCTTGTTGATTTTCCCACAGTTGGAAATTGCTGATCAGACACTTCTGATGCAATTCAGCCTTGTGCTCTGTTCTCTTTGGGGGTGGAGGTTTTATCTGACTTTTATGCCTGGGGAGATTTGCCCTGAGAGGAAAAAGTAAGACAGCATGAGCCAGGTAACAGGAAAATAAGTATAGAACATATGGAGGAGTAGGGTATTATGGTGTGGGTTGCATATAGGGATCCAAAGAGAGAACCTAACCTGAGATCCAGGGAGGAGCCACTTCCACCGTGTCCTGAGTGCCAAGCAGAGGCCATAGAGTCACAGCAGGCCTCAATGGGATTCACAAATGAAAACTGTGGTTTTAAATACAATGGGCTGTGATCAATTTGGTGTGTTTGTTGAGGGGGAGAGTGAGAGGTGGCAAAAATGAAGGACACTAATAATACACAGCCCATCTCAGGAGCAATGCAGGGGATGAACACTGAAATGGACAGAAGACCACTCCTGGATGTCATCTGTAAGCCCAAGTGAGGATTGTCACTAGATAGTCAGCTCAAGAATCCTTTTCAGCCGGGAAATTCTACAGTCCCTTTACTGATGCATAAGTTGTCCACTATGTGATGAAATGTGTCTAAATGCCTAAACTTTATTAGAATTTGGGGAAGAGCAATTCGCAGAAAAGATTACAGATAACCTGAGTCTTTCTGGCATCCCATTGATGAGGAATTTAATTGTCTGCTTGAGTGTTTAGGAATGCATGTGTGTTAAGTTGCTTCAGTCATGTCTGACTTTTGTGACCCCATGGACTGCAGCCCACCAGTCTACCCTGTCCGTTGGATTTCCCAGGTAAGAATACTAGAGCGGGTTGCCATGCCCTCCTCCAGGTTATCTTCCTGACCCAGGGATTGAACCTGTGTCTGTTACATCTTCTGCACTGGCAGGCAGATTCTTTACCACTAGCAAGCGCCACCTCGGAAGCCCCCTCCTATATGGTATACACTTTCCTTTTAGTAGCCAGGGGCTATGAGCAATGAATGCAAAGACTCCCTTGGGCTTATTCCCTTATCTATAAAATAATGCTGATCATCCTTAACCCATCCTTTCCAGGACTGCTGTGAGGATTGAATACTGCTGTGAGAAAAGGTTGGTAAATGTGAGGCCTGACCCAAGTGATAATGTTGAGCTGCTGTTTCAGTAGCAGTTCTTCTCATTGTCTTCATTCTTGGGATCAGGAAGAGGGTAAAACAAATCTCAAGGACCTTTAGATCAATCTAAAGGGATTTGTAATTTTTTTAAAGTAGTTATGTTGCTATATAATTGCCAATTAAAAAGTTATTATCTTGGCTGAAGAATCAGAGATGCCATAATCTTTGTTCAGCAAGACCATCTGTTTCCTACACACCGAAACATCTTTTCCCTTGACCTGCTGTCTGTTTACCAGTAGATAAGCTCCAAGAGGCAAGAATGACTAAATCCACTTCCAAATTGAGAAGCATGCCTGACAACCAAGTTGAAGGAAGAGTTCTGTCCTAAAACTAAAACAGAAACTGTTTACACAGTCAAATGAGTCTCATTGTAAATGAAATGTAGAATTCAGTTTGGAGTCCGTGGATTAGAAAAAGCTAGAGAATCCTGAATTCCTTGGGAAACTGACATCTAGCAGGCAGGGCTGCCTGGACAACAGCAACCAGCCTCTCGTTTGCATTTCTATATGAAAAGACCAGAAAAACCTTGGCCTGCAAAGGTCCAGTGGGTGGGTACAGAGGGATGGCAGTCATGCTGATCAGAGAGCAGCCTCTGCTCTGCTCCACTGGGCCCACCTGAGGGCAGAGCAGTCACAGGGTGCTGAATCAAATCCAGATTTCAGTGTGAAGTTGGACTTCAAAATCTGGGCAACCCATTCAAAGTTTTTAAAACCAAATGGGACATACAAAGAGTACCCGCAGATTAGATTTGACACAAAGAGTTCAGTTCCCTTAAAATGAGATCAAAAATAATGGTTACAAGGAGTTGGATGAATGTGCTTTCTGTCTAATGACTTAATTGTTAAATCATTTGTGTTTTTAAGTGACTGAACTCCTGTTGGAGTGTGGGGTAGTTTTACCATCAGGTATACTCCTGCTGCTTTTATGAAGAGAGGGAAGAAGACTTCCTAGAAGCCATTGTTATGAACTGAATGTTTGTTCCTCACCCTTACAAACTCATGTTGAATCCCAACCCCAGTGTATTTGGAAGTAGTCTTCAGCAAGTGATTAGGGTTAGATGCCGTTATGAGGGTGTAGCCCTTATGATGGGATTAGTGCCCCCTTATAAGAAGAGACACCAGAGAGCTTTTCTGTCCCTGTGTGCAAACAAAATAGTCATGTGCACATACAGCGAGATGGTGGCTGCTTATAAGCCAAGAAGAGGCCTCAGATGAAACCTACCTTGCCAGAACCTTGATCTCCGACTTCCCAGCCTCCAGAACTGTGAGAAATAAATGTCTGTTGTTTAAGCTGCCCAGCATGGTATTTTGCTATGGCAGTCTGAGCTGACTGATGCACTGGTGCTGGCTGGAGGAGCAGTAGCAGAAAGGAGAGGAAAGTTTGCTCAGATTAGCAGGGCAAGAGCTTATCAGAATAAGAGCCACCTGAGCATTGATTGCACTTGGTATAGACTCAGGTTAAGTACCTTTGTAACGAACTGACAGCCTGTCATGAAGCTGGGAAGGCAAACTGCTAAGGCTGGTCTGCAGCACACACTGGAATTTGGAATGGACATTGGGTTATAAGGAGGTGGTAAGTGGTGGCTCCTGGGACCAAGTGTGTGTTTCCTGTTTTGTTGGTTTTTTAAGGTATGTGTTAAAATTTGGGTATCCAGGTTATATCAGAATCACTACTGCATGCCCTGGGACCTAGGTGTTGAATTCTGTGTCACTGTGGTTCTATGTCACCCAATCTGTTTAACTGAGAACAAGAGAGAAGCAGCAAGTTATCTTGGAATCAGCATAGGCCCTGGAGTTGGGGCCATCCAGGCTGTGATTCTAGCCCTCAACTAGTGACTGCTCATCTTTAAATGGAGATCAGTAACGCCTCTTTCTGTTCTGTAGATCAGAGATAATAGATGTAAACACCTAACACCTCCTTGATGGTGCCAGCCTCCTCGACAGTGAGATGGTGTGAGAAGAGAAAACACTGGCTTACCAGGCAGAATCTGATGTCGGTCATCGATTTTTTCTGTAAAATGCCTAGGTTGGTCTGGCCAGTTAGTATTTCATTTAATAAGTTAATTTAAGTTCATTTAATTCAGTTAATAAGTATCTCATAAAAGATAATATAGAGCTTCCCAGATGGCGCTAGTGGTAAAGAATCCACGTGCCAGTTCAGGAGACACAAGAGACATGGGTTCGATCCCTGGGTTGGGAAGATCCCCTGGATGAAGAAATGGCAACCCACTCCAGTATTCCCGACCGTAAAATCCCATGGACAGAGGAGCTTGGTGGGCTACAGTCCATGGAGTTGCCAAGAGTCAGATGCAACTGAGCACCCAAAAGATAATATAAGCCGTCTATGTAAAGATGTATGAAGGTACATATTTTAAAATATACCAGAGAAGTCAGTCCCTCCCTACCCCCAGTGCTAAATCACTTCTAAGAATTCTGGTCCTGTTTCTAACAAATAACTAGGCTTTATTTCATGAATCAGACTCTCTCCTCCACTAGGAACATCCAGGACTCTCCTCCTCACCAGCGCTTTCCTCTTGCTAATGTTTACTGTTGTCTAATATGTCATCTAGGGTTTAGAGGAAAGAACTTCATGTCTAGACTCTCTATAATTTTGAAATTTAGGGAGTAAACTGTGGGACCAGGTTACTGTGGGCTCCAGGGTTCCACACATTCAGGAAGTAGGATGACCAGCTTAAAAAGTTTGTTTTTCCATCTGTCTTACAAAAGATGTCTACATTTCCGCCATTTTTACAAAGCCCCAACTTAGGGAAATGACGTAAGAGCAGATAGAGGACCAAAACTGTTAGTAGAAAGTTTCAGTTACATATACAAAGAAGAATTCATGTTTATGCCTCTATTTTTTTACATTGCAAAAGTTGTATGGCTTTTATAACATGATTATCTGGTTACTGTGTGTAAGTTTTTGACACTTTTCAGTTATTTTTCAGTGATTATATACATAAATCCTATGCCTGTGAGGAATATTCGCCTCATTCCCTGGCACCATCAAATGTGGCAGTGTCCGTGAGCAGAAAAGGAACTCTGTGTTCTCAACCTCTACTTCAGGGAAAAGTTTATGAAGCTTGAGTCAGTGAAGAAATGAGTCATTTGTCTTAAAATAAAGGTCATATGGAAGTAATTCTACAAATATTTGGTTGTGCATAAATTTAGAAATTTAAACTCAGGCCCTACCCTCACACTAATATTTTACAGGACTCCAAACAGCCCCTAGTATACACTTACCTAGTGTCCCAGCATTCCAAGACAGGAAATAGATAATATTCTCTGACTTTAAATGCAAGAGGTGGGCAGACTTATCTCATTAGCCCTAAAATAACAAGGTGAGTTCAGGGTATTTATGGACCTCTTGAGTTTAGAGCAGAAAACTTATCATTTGCTACAGAGCTGGATGATACCACACTCTTCATGTGACAGCGTGTCCTAGAGTAACTTGGTGTGGTGGAAAACCTTTGAAGTCAGACCTCATTACATTGAATACTGACACATGTACACCTCCAGGCAGGAGAGTAGAAGCATGGAAGAGGCCAAAACTAGAAAGAAAAAAGGCAATTTAGAGAAAATGGACAAGGAAGGAAGAAGAAAACATTGGAGAAGAAAGCTATTGTTGGTTAATAATTGCAGAGATAAACACTGCATCCACAGAACAACAGGATGCCACTTCAAAAAAAATACTTTTTCAGAGAATTAAAACCAAGTGTTACAAATTAAAAAAAATTAAAATAGCAGAAATGAAAAACAATGGAAGACACTGAGAGATAAAGTTGAGGAAATTTCCTTAAGAAGCAGAGTAAAAAGATGAAGGTGGAAAAACAGGAGATGAACGTTAAACAAGAGGCCCAGTCTAGGAGGCTCATTATCCAAAAATTCTAGATCTTGAAAGAGATACTTTTTTAAGGGAGATATTATGGACTGAATTTGTGCACCCCAACCTGATTCATATGTTGAAATTCTAAGCTTCAAATTGATGGAATTAGAGTTGAGCTCTCATGAATGAGATTAGCACCCTATTAAAGGGACCCTAGAGATCTCTTCTGAGACTTTTCTGCCACACAGAACATAGTGAGAAAGCAGCGTTTGAAAACCAGAAAGAACCCTCAGCAGATGCTCAATCTGTTCATGCCTTGATTTTGGACTTCCACCTTCCACAACTGTGAGAAATAAAGTATGTTTAAGTCACCCAGTATATGTTGTTTTGTTATAGCAATGTGAGCCAAGATGAGCAGAAAACATAATCAGAAAGTCAAATTTCCCAGTGCCCAGCCCAATGGATGAAAACAAACCCTGACACGTTTATGTCACTGTAAAATCTTACAACATGGAAACAGGAAGCTTCTATAAGGTTTCAGGGTGTGGCAGGAGAAGGGGAGAACATGTCTCAGAAAGGAACAAGAATCAGGATAACACTGGGTTTCTCAATAACACTGAATGTTAGAAGACAAGGAGGTGATGCCTTCAAAAGCTAGGGGAAAATGATGTCCCGGCTGAGGATTCTAGATCCAGCCACACTACCAGTTAAATGTGTGTGTGTGGGTGGGGGGGTGGGGGGAGCAGGGGTGGGGAGTGTAAATTTCCAAATAAACAAGGTCTCAGAATTACCTCCCGTGAATGTTTTGAAAGAAACTCCTGAAGGATGTTTTCCACCAAAGTAGGATAACCAAGAAAGGAAGCAGGAATTCTCCAAATGGTGGTGAAAAGAGATCCCAAAGTAAGGTAATGGTTTGTAGCTGACTTGATCATGACCAGACAGGACCAAGCCAAAGCAGCTCAGAGGCTTGGGGAACAAATTCTTCAGGAAGATGAAACTGATAGGCAACCTGTGTGTTTGAACATAGAAAGAGGAAGGAGGTTGATGTATCTGAGGAATTTAGGAGAGTCAGACAGAAAAATAACCATTGTACATATGACCCATAAGATTCTGAGTGGTACTTAATGCCAATATGATTATATTGGGAGAATGGAAAAACAGGAAGGATATATGTGAGGGAATGTAAGTTTGGTGGGGGAGAAGATGAATGACCACTCAGTTATAGCTAAAAGTAGAAAAAAAAAATCAAGGAGTGGCAATATAAGTGGATTCTCAGGTGGCTCAGTGGTAAAGAATCCACTTGCCAACGCAGGAGACACAGGTTTGATCCCTGGGTTGGGAAGATGCCCTGGAGGAGGAAATTACCTACTCCGGTATTCTTGTATGGAAAATCCCATGGACAAGAGGTTGGTGGGCTACAGTCCATAGGCTTGCAAAGAGTTGGACACGACTGAGCAACTGAGCATGCATTTGAATAGTAGTATTTTCCAGGTCAGATTCCCCAAGTGTGGTCATTGTATTAGGGATGACATGATGTCTGCAACTAATTGTCAAATACCACAGAGAGAGAGAGAGAAGGGGACAGAGAGAGAAAGAAACATGAATCTGGATGAGAATATTCGGGTGTTAATTTTACTCTCCCTGAAATTTTTCTGAAGGTTTGAAATCTTTTCAAAGTAAAACCTGGGAGATGAGTAGCAGCATACTTGCCTACTTAGAAGTAGGTAGTCACACTTACCAATTAGCTTATAAGTTTCACATGCTTGCCTGTGGGAATGGGAAGTTGGCAAGTTGAAAGCATGGGAGGATGAACCACTGGTGTTTTTTATAACTAGCTTTGAACTGTTGAATTCAGACATGTACATTTTTTTATTAAAAAAAAAAAGCTAAATTTTAAAAGTCAATACATACTAAGGAGAAACTAAAAATCAGTAAAACAAAAACTTTTAAAAAGAAACTTTTTTTATGGAAAGCATAGAAAGATATCTCATGCTCTTAGATTGGAAGAATTAATATTGTTAAAATTAATTGTTACCCAAAGCAATCTACAGATTTAATGTGATCCCTATCAAATTACCTAGGAGGTTTTTCAAAGAACTACAGCAAATAATCCCCAAATTTATATGGAACCACAAATGACCCAGAATTGACAAAACAATCCTGAAGACTTCAGATAATATTACAAAGCTGCAGTAATCAAAGCAAGGCAGTGTTGGCACCAAAATAGACATATGGATCAATGGAACAGACTAGAGAGTCCAGTCAATTCATCTTTGACATAGGAGGCAAGAATATACAATGGAGAAAAATGACAACTGCTTTGGCAAGTGGTATTGAGAAAGTTGGACAGTGTCATGTAAATTAGTGAAGTTTGAATGAAGTTTCACATCATACCAAAAAATGAATTCAAAATATCTTAAAGAATTAAATATAAGACATGACACCATAAAACTAGAAGAGAACACAGGCAAAACATTCTCTAACATAACTAGACCAGTCTCCTAAGACAATAGAAAAAAGCAAAAATAAACAAATGAAACAAAGTTACAAGCTGTTGCACGGCAAAGGAAACCATAAGCAAAACAAAAAGACAACTTACAGACTGGGAGAAAATATTTGCAAATGATGCAACTAACAAGGAATTAATCTGCAAAATATACAAACAGTCATACAACTCAATATCAAAGAAACAATAGCATCAAAAAATTGGCAGAAAGCCTAAGTAGATACTTCTCCAAAGAAGGCATCCTGTTGACAAATAGACACTTGAAAAGATGCTCCACATTTCTAATTACTAGAGAAATGCAAATCACAGCCATGTGAGTAAAAAAGAAAAAACCACAGTGAGGTACCACCTCACACTGTTAATCAAAAAGTCTATAAACAATAAATGCTGGGGAATGTGTAGAGAAAAGAGAACCCTCCTACACTGTTGGTGGAAATGTAAATTGGTGCAGCTACTATGGAGAACAGTATGAAGATTCTTTAAAAAAAAAAAAAAATGCCCACTCCTGGGCATATATCCAGAGAAAGCTAGTTTGGAAAGATACATGCACACCAATGTTCATAGAAACACTGTTTAAAATAGTCAAGACATAAATATCCTAAATATTCATCAACAGAGAAATGGATAAAGAAGATGTGGTATGTATATACAGTGGAATATTATGCAGCCATTAAAAATGAAATAATGCCATTTGCAGCAACATAGATGGATACAGAGATTGTCATACTGAGTGGAAAAAGACAAATATATCACTTACATGTGGAATCTTTAAAAAGGGTACAAACATCCATCAACAGATGAATATATAAAGAAGTGGTACATATATAAAATGGAATACTACTCAGCCACATAAAAGAATGAAATGATAACATTTGCAGCAACATGGTTGGACCTAGAGGTGATCACACTAAGTGAAGTCAGTCAGAGAAAGACAAATATCATTTGATATCACTTATACAGGGAATCTAAAATATTATGTAAATAAACTTATTTACAAAACAGAAACAGACTCACAGACACAAGAAACAAACATGCTTACTGAAGGGGAAAGGGCCTGGGAGGAATGAATTAGGAATTTTGGATTCACATACACATACTGCTGTCTATAAAACAGACAATCCACAAGGACCTACTGTATAACACAGGGAACTATATTCAGTGTCTTATAATGAACTATATTGGAAAAGAATATGAAAAAGAACACATATATATGTATAACTGAATAAATCTTCTGTACAGCAGAAACTAATGCAACATTATAAATCAACTATACTTCATTTTTCTTTTTAAAAAAGGCAAAACAGCTTTTGTGCATACAAACGATATGGGAAATACAATAGACAAACTATTTTCCACAACAAAAGGAAGAAAACATTTAGGAATAACTTTAATATGGAATGTGCAAGTTTTCTATGATGACTAGCCCTCTACTGAGCAACACAGATGAATTCTTGAATGGACAGCCATGTCTTATTCCTGGGTAGGATGATTCAATATTGTAGAGATATAAGTTGTCCCTAAAGTAAACTTAACACAATCTCAATCAAAACCCCAACAAAATGATTTTATGGCTCATTTGTAAGAATATTACAGAAATATTAGAAAGAAACTGGAAAATGAATTACTCAACCAATTTTTTAAATTTATTTTTTTTTTACTGAAGGAAAACTGCTTTACAGGAGTTTGCTGTTTTCTGTCAAACCTCAGCATGAATCAGCCATAAAGTGAGTGAAGCCGCTCAGTCATGTCTGACTCTTTGCAACCCCATGGACTGTAGGCCACCAGGCTCCTCCGTCCATGGGATTTCCCAGGCAAGAATACTGGAGTGGGTTGCCATTTCCTTCTCCAGGGGATCTTCCCGACCCAAGGATCAAACCCAGGTCTCCCACATTGCAGGCAGATGCTTTAACCTCTGAGCCACCAGGTATACGTATATTTCCTCCCTTCTGAACCTCCCTCTCATCTCCCTCTCCATCCCACCCCTCTAGGTTGATACAGAGCTCCTGATCGACTTTCCTGAGACATAAAGCAAATTCCCGTTGGCTATCTATTTTACATATGGTAATATAAGTTTCCATGTTACTCTTTCCATTCATCTCACTCTTTCCTCCCCTCTTCCCATGTCCATAAGTCTATTCTCTATGTCTGTTTCTCCATTGCTACCCTGTAAATAAATTCTTCAGTACCATTTTTCTAGATTCTAACATGCATTAGAATACGATATTTATCTTTCTCTTTCTGATTCACTTCACTCTATATAATAGGTTCTAGGTTCATCCACCTCATTAGAACTGACTCAAATGTGTTCCCTTTTATGGCTGAGTAACATTCTGTGGTGTATATGTACCACAACTTTATCCATTCATCTGTTGATGGATATCTAGGTTGCTTCCATGTTCTAGCTATTGTAAATAGTGCTGCAGTGAACAATGGGATGCAGATGTCTTTTTCAATTTTGGTTTCCTCAGGATATATACCTAGGAGTGGAATTGCTGGGACATGTGCTGGTTTTATTCCTAGTTTTTTTGAGGAATCTCCTTACTGTCTTCCATGGTGGCTGTATCAATTTACATTCCCACCAACAGTGCAAGAGTATTCCCTTTTCTCCACACTCTCTCCAGTATTTACTGTTTGTGGACTTTTTGATGATGGCCATTCTGACTGGTGTGTGCTAATATCTCATTGCAGTTTTTATTTGCATATCTCTAATGATAATGCCAAAAAATTGATGCTTTTGAACTGTGGTGTTGGAGAAGACTCTTGAGAGTCCCTTGGACTGCAAGGAGATCCAACCAGTCCATCCTAAAGGAGATCAGTCCTGGGTGTTCATTCGAAGGACTGATGTTGAAGCTGAAACTCCAATACTTTGGCCACCTCATGTGAAGAGTTGACTTATTGGAAAAGACCCTGATGCTGGGAGGGATTCGGGGCAGGAGGAGAAGGCGACGACAGAAGATGAGATGGCTGGATGGCATCACCGACTCAATGGACTTGAGTCTGAGTAAACTCCGGGAGTTGGTGATGGACAGGGAGGCCTGGCGTGCTGCGATTCATGCGGTTGCAAAGAGTTGGACGTGACTGAGCAACTGAACTAAATAATGAGCGATGTTGAGCATTTTTTCATGTGTTTCTTAGCCATCTGTATGTCTTCTTTGGAGAAATGTCTGTTTAGGTCTTTTCCCCACTTTTTGATTGGGTTGTTTGTTTTTCTGGCATTGACTCGTATGATCTGCTTGTATATTTTGGAAATTAATCCTTTGTCCGTTGTTTCATTTGCTATTATTTTCTCCCATTCTGAGGGTTGTCTTTTCACCTTGCTTATAGTTTCCTTTGCTGTGCAAAAGCTTTTAAATTTAATCAGGTCCCACTGTTTACCTTTGTTTTTATTTCTGTTACTCTAGGAGATGGGTCACAGAGGATCTTGCTTTGATTTATGTCAACACATGTTCTGCCTATGTTTTCCTCTAAGAGTTTTATAGTTTATGGTCTTGCATTTAGGTCTTTATAATCTATTTTGAGTTTATCTTTGTGTTCAACCAGTTTTTAAAATACATTAAAAAGCTACAGAAAATTGAAACTTGACATAGGCACTGTAAACATAAAAGGTCAACAGAAGCAAACAGTCAAACTATCAGTCCAAGTACATGATAAATAGCATGTAATAAAGATGCCCTTTCCCCTAGGCATGTGTTTGTATGTGGGTGAGAGGAGAAATGGATTAATGATGCAACTGGCTACCTTCATATAGATCCCACCCTGTATAAGAAAGGGTCCATAGAGTGGACCCACCTTATTTACTTACATGCATGTATATCTCAGCCACATCAAAGGTTTAAAGTGAAAACTAAAATAAAATCCATTAAATAAAAGAGTTAACCTTCTATTCCTGGCCAGTTGCCATGCCATTCCATGAGCATCATCCTTGATTTCAGCCTCTCTTACAACATCACTTTTAATTAACTACATTTTATTTCTTCTACACCTTAAATATCTCCAGCATCCATCTCCAGTCTGTCTCCCCACTACAAAACCTTCCAACAGGTTGCCTTAGTTCAGTGCAGTAGGATCCTACTTGGTGTCTGACTTCTAACATGGTCTGAGTCTAATCCATATTTCATGGAGCAATAGTTCTCAAATCAGGTATGACCTTTTTAATCCACGTTCACTTCCTTGACTCCTCACTGCTCTCGGGACCAGGTCCAGTGGCTTGTCTTTGGCCCCAGGGCCCTTCATGTTCCAGCCCCTTCTTTCTCTGGCATCATCTCTCCTGCTATCTCTGTATCATCCCCCAAATAGTGAACTGCTCAGTTTCTAGAATTTGCCAACCTTTTCCTCCAAACCTTCTTATAGCACTGTTCTTCTCATAGCAGTGTTCTTCAGGTCTGAGAGCCTCCCATGACCCCCCCGGCCCCGATATCATTGACTCTGTTAATGAAAGCCTTGTATTTACCTGTCCATCTCCCCACAGGAAGTAAGTTCCGTGGGTTCAGGGATCATGTCTGTCTCATCCATCTTAGATCCCCCCAAATTTAGTATTATACTTAGAACATAGTAGATATTCACTAAGTATTTGGTGAATGAATTGAACTGTGCTTGTATAAATCAGTTTTTCTCAATAGAAAACAAAAAATAAATTAACAATATACAATTGATAGTTAATGGCAAACTTTTACCAGTTGGCATTAGTAGAATCCTGGGCTGTGTCTGAGCCAGTGCTGCTCAGTGCTGTAAATGGTATGGGCTGTTCACAAAATTACAGATTGCTGTTCCAGGACAGTCTCCTCTGACTTCTAGGTATTTTCAACAATGCCAGCTGCTCAGAATTTGACCCCCTGATGTTTAGAGTTGGGGCTAGAGGTCCAAAGTGAGGAGAAATCCCATCTCTGATCCTCTTTTGCTCCCTGCTTTTAGATCCTTCAGCTGAAGTTGCTTCTGATTCATCTTGTTCACCATGCTCAACTTTCTGCAGTGAAAATGGGATCTTAGAAATTTGGAAAATATTTTCCATGTAAGTACCAGTTTATTTTCTCAAGTTCATGTGATTGATGAAAACCTGGCACTTCCTAGTATAAATGGGTGGGGGTTTTAGGTTAAGGTAGTTGTCAACTGGCTGAAAGACCTCCTGAGGGCCAGGACACCCCAGGTCTGTGGGCAAGTGTGTCCCCCGTGGGCACTCAGATGGACTGGGTGAACTGCTTGGGAATGAGGTTTTTTCCCTCCTCAGCTCTAAAGTTAATCTGGTGTTCTGTCATTTCTAGTTGGTCTAGGGTCATGTTGCTTCATCTTGATATAAATACCAAGTCTTTTTGATTTAATACTTTAAAGAATCATGAGGCGTCAACACTGAATAGGAAGAAACTATTTTAAGTCCCTTAGCATTCGTGCTCCACTTGGAAAAAAAATGGTAAAGCTTCTGTAACTGGTGGCCTCTGCCTCTCTTCTTCTGGGTGGCTTTTAAAACTTTGCAAAACCAAGTTTGTTGCTGTTGTTCAGTCACTCAGCCCTGTCTGACTCTTTGTGACCCCATGTACTGTAGCACGTCAGGCCTCCCTGTCCTTCACAATCTCCTGGAGTTTGCTCAACTCATGTGCATCGAGTCAGTGATACCATCTAACCTTCTCATCCTCTGTCACCCCCTTCTCTTGCCCTCAATCTTTCCCAGCATCAGGGGCTTTTCCAATGAGTTGGCTCTTCCCATCAGGTTGCCAAAGTATTGGAGCTTCAGCATCAGTCCTTCTAATGTATATTCAGCGTTGATTTCCTTTAGGATTGATTGGTTTGATTTCCTTGCTGTCCAAGGGACTCTCAGGAGTCTTCTCCGGCACCACATCCAACAGTCAATATCCATTGGCCAGTGAAGGTTTACACAGTCAACAAGGTGTGTTGAGTGGGATAACCAGCAGTGGGATAACGAGGGTGCCGAGCATGTCATCCAGCTATGTGGAGCTACTGAAGGGCGGGTCCCTTCTAGGCAGGGCCTGACAAATGTGGTCCACTGGAGAAGGGAATGGCAAACTAGTATTCTTAGTATTCTTTAGTATTCTTGCCTTGAGGACCCCATGGACAATATGAAAAGGCAAAAAGATATGACACTGAAAGATGAGCCCCCAGGTTGGTAGGTGTCTAACATGCTACTGGGGAAGAGCGGAGAAATAGCTCCAGAAAGAATGAAGAGGCAGAGCCAAAGTGGAAAACTGGGAAATTATGCCCAGTTGTGGATGTGTCTGATGGTGAAAGAAAAGTCCCATGCTGTAAAGAACAATACTACATAGGAATCAGGAATGTTAGGTCCATGAGTCAAGGTAAATTGGATGTGGTCAAACAGGAGATGGCAAGAGTGAACATCGATCGACATTTTGGGAATCAGTGAACTAAAATGGATGGCAATGGGTGAAGTTTAATTCAGATGGCCATTATACTGTGGGCAAGAATCCCTTAGAAGGAAAGTAGTAGACCTCATATTCAATAAAAGAGTCTGACATGCAGCACTTGGGTGCAGTCTCAAAAACAACAGAATGATGTCCATTCATTTCCAAAGCAAACCTTTCAATATCACAGTAATCTGAGTCTATGCCCCAACCATAACACTGAAGAAGCTGAAGTTGAACGACTATGAAGACCTACAAGACCTCCTAGAACTAAGACCAGAAAAAGATGTCCTTTTCATCAAAGGGGACTGGAATGCAAAAGTAGGAAGTCAAGAGATACCTGGAGTAATGGGCAAGTTTGGCTTTGGAGTAGAAAATGAAACAGGGCAAAGACTAACAGAGTTTTGCCAAGAGAACTCACTGTTCACAGCAAACACCCTCTTCCAACAAAACACAAGAGATGACTCTACACATGGACATCACCAGATGGTCAATACCAAAAAACAGATTGATTGTATTCTTTGCAGCTGAAGATGGAGAAGCTCTATATAGTCAGCAAAAATAAGACCAGGAGCTGACTGTGGCTCAGATCATCAGCTCCTTATTGCAAAATTCAAGCTCAAATTGAAGAAAGTAGGGAAAACCACTAGGCCACTCAGGTATGACCTAAATCAAATCCCTTATGATTATACAGTGAGGTGATGTATATGATTATACAGAGGTGATGA